GAGAGATCTGTAAAAGAACCAGCATTTGAGGATATAACTGTAGAGTCTGAAAGAAAAAGAATATTCAAAGATTTTATGTATGTCCTTGAGCAAGAGCCAGCATCATCATTCAGAGAGTAAAAAATATTCTTTGAAACCTAAGAAACGTCATAGGAAATGTTCCCACTGTCTGTCGGAGTCGTGTTCAGATGATGACAACGGCCATTCAAAGAAGAAAGTCGGCAGGCAGAGTCCCCTTCTGCTTCAGAGCGTTCTCCTAGTGTGGAGTCTGCTAGAAGTTATGTAACAAAGCAGAGGAGCATAGAAGAAAAGAAGAGGAGACAGGAATCTGACTCTCTGGAATCAGATGCTGAGCTAGGAAAGGATAAAAAAAAAAGATCAGGAAAATGAAAAGGACAGATTGGAATCAAAACACAAATCACTTGAGAAAAAGACGGGGAAGCATTGTGGTACTGGGGATGCTTGCGGCAGTGGACTGAGTGAGGGTTCGAAAGGCGGAGAAGAACCCTTTTGGAGCAACTGGATGGCAATCAATAAATTATACCAGGGGGCTGGGGATTTAGCTCAGCGGCAAAAGCGCCTGCCTGACATGCGCAAGGTCGTGAGTTCAGTTCCCGGTACCGGAGAAAAACCAAAAAAAAAAAAAAAAAAAAAAAAAAAAAAAAAAAAAATAAATTATACCAAACAAGTGTTAAAAATACACTTAGATCAGGACAGAATATTCTTTACAGTTCCTTAAAGGTGATTTCTTAACATGAGTTTTGGAGTTGTTTATCACACAAATGGAGCATTGGGGTGCTTTGATATTTTTTAGAGTGTTTATTATATTTTAATACTGTGGTAGAATAATTATTTGTTCCTTTTAGAGCACGAGCCAAAGATCTTGAGGAAGAATTGGAGAGAACCGTTCAATCTTATCAAGGGCAGGTACGTGTGTGTGTGTGTGTGTGTGTGTGTGTGTGTGATTTAAACCAATTTTGATTTGTTTGAATTGATGAGGAATAGAATTATTTGACCATCCATTTCTCTTTAAGTATGGCATGTGACTGTGGACCATTTCTAGGGAGCTAAGGATTCTGAGATAAAACAATCATATTTAAAGTTCCCTGCTTCCTTGGGAATGTGGATTACATGGCATAAATATACATGGATCAACACTGAGCTCTCAATTTTTTTTAAGAAAGGGTCTTGCTATGTAGTGCAAAGTGGCCTTCAATTTAATATGCAGCCCAGCCTGGCCTTAGACTTGGAGTAATCCTTCCTACCTCAGCCTCCTGAGTGCTGGGATTATAGGTGTGTACCACCAAGCCTGGCTGGGGTCTGATATTTAGTCAGGCTGGTTATCTGTTAGTCAGAAACTCTTGTTGAGTTGATCACTGCAAAAAATAGAAATTTCCTCGATAACAATCATGTTTGTACATTCAGTTTTTGTTTTAAAAGTAAAATAGAATAGATCATGTGTACCTGAAAATTTGCTTTAAAATGTTTACTGTCTCTCCAAAGATGTTTGGGGCATTATGAGTTTATAGGTTGTACATTAAATTATGGTAGTAGATATAAGTGGTTTTTACTTAGGAAAAATAATTGTAAGTATTTTTATACCTTTGTTTTTCAGATTATTTCCCATGAGAAAAAAGCACATGATAATTGGGTAAGTTTTAATTTCTTTTATGGTTCTTTTGTCAGATTTCTTTCAGAAGATGTACTGCTTATTTAAATTAGGTGAAAAATTAAGATAGAATTTAAAAAAAAAATCACTTAATTGCATCAGTGATGAGTTCATACTAAAAGTTCAGGTCATATACAAAGAAATAATTACCAGTATCATTTTCATTTGTCTGTACTGCTTGAATGAATTTAAATATAAACGCACATATGTGTGTGTGTGTGTATATATATATGTTTAAAATAATGAATCCTATTACTGTATTTTACTGTTTATAACTTGCTTTCAGGAAACCGAGAGAACGAGGCAGAGGAAGGGGACATAAAAAGATTTGAGATGTATTATGTACATGTATCTCTTCCCCACAATGGGTATAACTGTTATGTACTGCAAATGTGTACTAATAAAAAAAAAAAGAGAACAGTAGGCTAGATGGGTTTGAAGGAAGGGGGAGAATTTTTATGAAGATCAATGACAAAATGTTTTTTAAATGGATTTTATTTGTTTTTTGTTTTTTTTTTTTATTTTGAGGCAGGGTCTCACTACATAGTGCAGGCTGGCCCTGAACTTGCTTATGTAGCCCAGGCTGGCCATGAACTCATAGCAATTCTCCTGATTCAGCCTCTCAAGTGCTGGGATTACAGATGTGTGCCACCACTCCTGGCTAATAAATTTTTATTAAACATTAAAAAATTTGCTCTCAATATATCAAAGATACTCTTCTATGAATGTTTCATAATTTATAAAAGCTTTCTCATTTGATGAATCTTTATTTATTTATTTATATTTTGTTTTGAGGTAGGGTCTCACTATGCAGTTCAGGCTGGCCTTGAACTTGCTTGTGTAGTCCCGGCATTTTCAAACTGTGGCTGTCCTCCTATCTTAGCCTCCTGAATGCTGGGATTGTAGGCATGCACCACCATGCCTGGTTTGAACCTTTAGTTTTGTTTCTACTTTTTTATGATTACAATTTCAGGTATTTCTTTATTAAGAATTTCTCTGCTTAATCTTACTAGATTTAATCCTGTCCTTTTGGACTCACTTTGTACCGTTTTTATATGTCCTGTGGCAAGTATTGTGTTCTTTACTGTAGTCATTTATATTTGCTCAGACCACAAAACTTTAAATTTCATAAGGCAGGAACTGTTTGTTTCTTTTTGCTTAATGTCTGCACCTAACAATAGTTTGTATATTATAAGTAGTCGCTATTTAAATAGTAGTGTTTTAGAGTGCAAAGTGGTCAGTCACTGAAATTACAGTTTTATTTAACCTTTGTAAGCATTTCAAAAATCTGCAATCACTTACCGTCAGCTTATTTTATACATACTTCTGTAAAGTGTCTGTTATGTCACTAGTTTATTAACTATGAGTGTCTTAAGACTTAATGTGTTATACTGTGTAGAAACCATTCAGAAATAATTTTGGTTCTACATTGTTAACAGTTAAAAGAATATTTTATTTTACTAACTAAAATTTTATTAGTGTAACTTTTTTGTTAGTATAAAATTGATCATATAATTACATATTGGAAAAAGATTTACACATGGAATCTTTTTTGATAGTGAGTGCTAAAATAATTTAAGCTGTGCTTTTTGCAAATGTCTACATAATTTATTTTTTCACTAAAGTCAGTTCTAAAGTGTAGTTCACAGTTTTAAGTGAAAGCAAATCTGACAGTATAGTTCCTTTTACTTGTAAAGGCATAGTTCTAGACTAAATTGCCTACCTTTCCATGCTGTTAGGTATGATCAAATATATGGCTAATGTTAAATTTTAAAAAATTTATTATAAGAAAAGACACATTACTGTTGATACCCCTCGGAAGATTTCTCTTCACTCCGAACACACTTTCCCCATTGTTCTTGCCACTTTCTGGAGAAGTTCTGGAAGTCCTTTCTTGAGAAGTATCTTTAGTTGTGCTGTCCTGTCTTAATGTCATGAATTAATTCAAAATGCTTATTTTTCATGGTCGTTTTGACTTGAGCAAAGAAGTTGCATGATGCCAGAGGTGGTGAATAAGGCGGATAAGGAGACATTGTAATGTTTTATTAGACAAATTGCCATAAACATTTGAATCAATTCAGGACATCCAGGCAGCTGCAAAAAGACACTTAAAAAAGAGGACTTCCAGAACTGCTTCAGAAAGTGACAAAAATGATGGGATAAGGGTACTTAAAGCAAGGGTGACTACAAGTACATAAAAGCTTTAGATTTTACTAACTGGAGTCTTCTCTTTATTTGTAATAACATCATTTGTATTTTTGTCAAGTAAATAAACCTTTGGATGTGGAGAAAAAAGGAGGGGGAATAGTTTGAGAGGAATTAGTGGCAATTTGACTTTTACTATAATGAAATTTTAAAAATTTTTCTTTAAACATTCACTTTAGTTTTGATCACACCTCATAAAGCCCAGTGAGTTGCGTTACTGTGGCGGATGTTGTCCGTGTTGCTGCATGTTATCTCCAGAGCCCGCAGAATGACCGGAACATGCAGTACCATGCGTTGTAAAAGTTCAGCTTTTCCAACAACTGTTTAGGAATATTGCATGTTCTTGGTATTTATTATAAATAAAAGCTTGGTTTTCTATAATATATAATCTGATTTTTAAAAATTTCTTTTTGAGACAGGGTCTTGCTCTGTAGTTCAGGCTGACCTTGAACTCACTATGTAGCCCAGGCTTGTGGCAACATCGCTTTAGCCACTGGCCCCCAATGTTAAGATTACAGGCTTATGCCATCATGCCTATTTGTGCTCTGATCTTAATTTTTTATTAAATCCAAATATCATTAAACAAATGTAAAATACTTAGAGGAATGCCATCTGTATAAATTATGTACTTAACAGGTGTGCAACATTGATTACATTCAGCCATTTTAAAAAATGACCTGTGCAGGTGAGTTACTGCAGTCCTTTAGGGTTTCCCAGAGTCACAGTATTTCTCTGTGTGCATGACTGCATTGTTGCATAACGAGGGCTGCTATGCATAGTGACTCTGAGACACGTTGCCATTGCTCTAAGCTTGTATGGTCTTACCATGTTACCCGGGTGTTTGTATCAGCAAATGTGCTGATCCATGGTTTCACATCTAGACAGTAAATGTCACTGGACACAAGATTAACTCTAGTTCAAGCTTGTATCTTCTGCTTACATGAAATTCGTTCCTGTTTAAATATTTTCCTAAATTTAGTGTTTTACACCGAGTTTATGAAATGTGTACTTCGGGGATTGTGCTGTTTTTATGCCATCACTGTGATACCATCATTGTGACATTTATGCTATTCTTTCATTTTCAGTTTGCATAAAATAATTTTTAAAAGGTGTTATTTTCTTTAAGTTGGCAGCTCGGACTGCTGAAAGAAACCTCAACGAGTTAAGGAAAGAAAATGCTTACAACAGACAAAAGTAAGTACCTTACAGGGAGCACTTCAAAATTTAAAGTTAGTCACTACTATTATTTAATTGCATAAGACTTTTTAAGGAGAAATAAGTAAACTTGCAATATACTAGAATATCTAGTTGTGAAATATCTTAGTTTTACTAGGTATGACTAGTTTTTTATTTGAGATAGTTGTCTTGGAAAGGTCATTGAAATAGAACTTGAAGGAAACTATTCCCAAATTCTTCTGTAAAAAGTATAATTAAAATTCTTTTTAAACCAGTACAGGTACAGAGAGGTAAAAAGGAAAGAAAATAAATAGAGAAATCTTTCTGATACAGTATGCTTAGAGTATCAGCATTTTTTTTTTTTTTTTGACTCAGTGTATGGAACCTATGTTTCTTTTCTCTCATCCCCGGGTTTTGTTGTATTGGGTGGCATTGTTGTACAATAATAGAATGGAAGGGAGATGATCAGTGTACAGTAGAAGGGATGTTTAAATGATTTTCTATGGAGATAATAACAGTTTTCTGAGAGTTTTATGTTTTGTCAGGCTGTATGGTTAACATTATTAAATATTAGTTTTATTCCTCTTGTCTTTACTGTCAGAAATTTAGAATAAAATGATTAAAGGTTTTATTTCAGGTCTGATGGTCAAGAACTAGCATAAGATTTATTTGAAAGTTCCCATTTTTAAGATGAAAAGTTTACAGCTAAAATAGTAGGATGAGTTAAAGGGATTTCCAGTTTTATGTTCTGATTGGAGTCATGTGGGTCAATTATAATGGAAAGCATATCACCTCAGGAGTGCTGTGTTTTAATCCTGGTGCTTTCATTTGTAATAAGTCATTTAAACGCCTACCCTTAGTTTTCTTCGTTATAAAATGATGGATTTGAACTGGTTGTCGTGGTTGTTACATTTCAGAAACTTGGATTCTGTGAAATAGTACTTACTTTACGTTGTAGTTTAGTTTTGAAGAAAGAATGCAATAGTCCCAGACCTCAGCAAAACATCACTATCCATAAGCAGCAAGGAACTGATTGCCCCAAAATAAGTAATGGATGTGGCAAGGTCATGTGGTCAGAGTGGAGGATCTAGTTCTGGATGTCAGTACTGAGCACAGAGTAGCTTTACTTGGCAGTGGCATTTTTCTTGAAATATGGGTGCTCCTCTTGGAAAAGTAACTTAGTGATGTTTGTTCTCTATTTGCAGATTAACTGAAACAGAGTTTAAATTTGAACTTTTAGAAAAAGATCCTTATGCACTTGATGTTCCAAATACAGCATTTGGCAGAGGTAGTCTTTTTTTTTTAACCCCTAATTTAAAATATATATTATATTTATATATTGTAATAAAGCTTATATTAGTATAAATTAACACTACTCTTTATAGATAACTTAGGTTTTAGAGCTGGGATTCTATTCCAAGCTCTTAAAAATTTCAAGTGTCTGGGATTTCTTTCCCTAGCAATAAAAAGAAGGTATTGGTATCTTCTTTTCTCAGTTGACACTTAGTAAGGTACTCATAATTTGGGGGAAGAATAAATGAGTAAGAAATACTTAAATAGAATGGCATTGTGACTGTTTACATTTACATTTACCTTACTTTTAAATTTGCTTGGATTATAAACATAGGAATTAAAGTAGTCAATTTTAAAGTGTTTGTGTAATTTAAAAGGTGGGGAAAACTTAATCTGCATTTTGATTGATTTAATTTACCTCGTGGGGAACCAATTCTTTGTAAAATGTATTTAATGTTTCTTTTCATTTTGGGATGGCATCTGTAATGATCACAAACTATTCTATATGGTTTAAATGTTTAAGAATAGTTGTTTTTTTTTTTTTTTTTGGTACTGGGAATTGAACTCAGGACCTTGTGCTTGCCAGGCAGGCACTTATGCCACTGAGCTATATCATCAGCCCAAGGATAGTTTTCTTATATTGGAACTAAGATATTACAGCAGTGAAAATAAATCTATGCTTAAATGAAGAGAATTTCACTTTAATAACCTTTGAAAGTTATAAAAATTATTTGATAGTCAACTTTTCTTACAATGAAAGTCTGCTTCTACATTTAAAAAATACCAGATTATTATGAATTTTAAGTAGTAATAGTTTGGATGAGGGGGTAGTATATAGAAGGAATTTTTTTAAATGCAATACAAAAGCCTCAGGGAGGGTTAATAATGCTTTGATCTTTTGCTGTAGTTGAGTGTTCTAACCGTTGATTCACCATATGTAAAAGTGTTGCTTAAGTGATATTTTAAATTTGGTTTTTGTTGTTGAATTTTAACCTTTAAAGTATAACAGTTATTTTGGGAGTGGTTAAGTTTGTAAAATATTAGAGCTCTTGGTTATATGGGTTATGGAGAAAGTGATTTTTCTGATAAATTAGTATATGTAAACTCGTTTTTACTGGTAAGAAATCAAATGTAATTTCTGATGCTTTAGAGCATTTCATGCATTTTTCTACTTTTCAGAATCTGAGTTTCACTCAGACATTTCGTAGCCCAAACACAGCATATCTTGTCGTGATTTACATGATCACTGCCCTGTTGTAACCCTCATCAGCTGAAATACCTGGAACCATACTGCCATTAACAGCAAAACAAAGTGTGTTTCTTGCTCCCAAGTTCTCCTTTACTCCAAAATTTCCTCTACATCCTTTGTTTAACCTTTGTGGTTATTTAAGTGTATTAATTACCAGTAGAGTAATGTTTTTATTCCATGTCTGTTTGGTAGACTTCAGAAATACTAGATTCCCTATTTAATTCAGGCCTGTATTAGCAAAACCAGAGGCAGAGCATTTAGCACTTGGAGTAAACTAAAGTTGGCAAGAGGGTGACCTGATGGTAATTGTTGAAATGGGGTTCTGTCTTTATAGTGTAGCTAACTGAAAGTATGAATTTAAATATGCTGTTTTAATTATTCCAGAGCATTCCCCATATGGTCCCTCACCATTGGGTCGGCCTTCATCTGAAACGAGAGCTTTTCTCTCTCCTCCAACCTTGTTGGAGGGTCCACTCAGACTCTCACCTTTGCTTCCAGGGGGAGGAGGACGAGGTATATTGTTTAAACATTATTATTATTCTAAATTTCTTCCTTACTTTATATTTTTCATCTGAACTTACCTTTAAAGTAATTTGTAAAACAAACACTTGGAAAATACAGGCATTCCTTGCACTTATTGTGGGTTACTTGTTTTTGGAAAAGGGTCTCCGCAACATCTAATTTTAATATATTGTTCTCTTGGAAACAGTGTTACATAAACTGAGCATTTCAACTCTGAAAATCTGAGATCCAAAGTGTTCTGAAGTCCAGAACTTTTGTGGCATAGTACTCAAAAAGTGGTGGGTTTTGGAGCATTTCGTATTTCATACTTTCAGATTTCAAATGCTTAGCCACTAAACTCTGCAAATAATTTAAAATACAGAAAATTTCAGAATCAGAAACACTTCTGGTCTTAACCATTTCTGATAAGGGATTTTCAACCCATAATAGATAACATTTTGATAAAGGATTTCATATGCATGTCTTATTTTTATTTTTATTTTTTTGGGAGACAGAGTCTCACAATGGTAGTGGAGGCTGGCCTTGGACTTGCTTATGTAGCCCAGGCCGGCTCACAGCAATCCTCCTGCCTCAGCCTCAAGTGCTGGGATTACAGGTGTGAGCTACCACCCCTGGCTCATACCTTATTTTTAAAAAGCAATAAAAAAAAAGTATATATTACATACAATAAGACTTTCAAAGAATACATAAAGTAGATTAACAGTTTAATCTAACATCGAATTTGGTTTTGATAAAACATTATTAGAATGTAGAATTTAAAAAAAAATTAAAACTTCACTGTTATCTTTTATTGTTGAAAATGAGGCAGTGAAAGGATCTTTTTTGTTTTTAGAGTGAAGCATTTCAGTGGTACCCTTGTAGGCAGAGTTGCATTAGAACCTTTAAGGAGAACTGACTCGTTTGTTGATAACTTTGAGAACGTAGGTTATGCCCACGCCCTCAGCTGTTCTTGAAAATCTCTGTTGCTGCCTCAAGCTCAAGCGTAGCTCTCATCTTTCTGCTTTGCCGCCTCCTTGTCACCCTGGCGTCACAGAGCCTCTTGCGCCCTTGCAAACCTGTTTGCTTGAGGTTTCCGCTTTCATTCTCTGACCTAAGTTTCTTCACTTTGTCAGGTTGCTTTAAAGATTTTCCTGGGTTTGTGGCCAAATTAAAGAAATAAAAGTTCTATTCTAAAATCAAAAGTCTTAGGTTTTTAGTCTCAAGTATGTGTTCTCTTTTTTTTTTTGGTCTTTTTGAGACAGGGTCTCACTATGCAGTTCAGGTTGGTCTTGAGCTCACTTTGTAGCCCAGGCTGGCTTTGAACTCAAAATGATCCTCCTGCCTCAGCCTCCTGAGTGCTGGGATTACAGGTGTGCACCACCATGCCTGGTCAAATCGTTGTTTTCTTTTTCTTTTTTCGTAGTGGGAATCAAACTCACGACCTCATGTTTGCCAAGTAGGCACTGTGCCCCTGAGCTATATTCCAAGTCCTCAAGTCTGTGTTTTATGATAGCTGGTGGTATTTTTCACTAGTGAAGTGTTCCCATCCTTTTTCTCAGCGATTTTAACAGATTGAATTTGAGCTAAGAACATAAAGTACAGAGTCCGTATAAAAACATCAAATTTTGCCCAACATGTCAAAGCTCATGTACTCAAATTAATTTGGTGCAGGGAATTGAATGTAGAATCTTAATGAGCTACATCTCTAGCCTTTTTAAAATTTTTATTTTGAGACAGGGTTTCCCACAGTTGCCAAGGTGCCCAGGCTGGGCTCAGACTTTGCAGTCCTCCTGCCTCAGCTTCACAGAGTGCTGGCTTTATATGTGTGTGCCATCACATCCTGCTGATAATACTCAATTAAATAGTTTCTGAGGGAATCTTCCTGAGGAAGCTGCCGTTCTTAAATATATTTGGAACTGTTCCTTTGGTGCTGCCTTCAGAGGATTGAGGAAATCATTCTCCTACGTTATGGTCATGAGATAATCTCCCTTTCTCCATTCCCTATTTATATCTTCTGTCCTTACTTTATTCCACTCCCTCACTCCCAGTTCTCTGCAGATTGGGCCCACAGTCTGGCCTCACCTCAGAGAGAGCCTGTGCTTGTGTTGTTGGGACTGGGAGCCCTGCAGTCTGTGCTGTGGCCTGGGTGATAGGTGGAGCCGGGGTGCACTGGGCCCTTGAGGAAGGGGATGGAACTTGAAAATCACGTGTTGCTGTGGAAGCGTAGGCCGTAGTGCTGTCAGACACTCCCACCCCAGTTTTTCGCTGTGACTTGCAGTGAGAAATGTGTTGTATATCCAGTCATATTTTGAACCAACATAACATAATCCTTTTTTCATTTTTATTTGTATCAGGACATGTTTACAGTACATAGCAGTTATATTCATCATGGGGGATATATAGTAATTGAAACACTACATGAAACAGTATTTATCATTACAGTTTTGATGATTTGTGGTGTTGTCAGCCTTACTCCATTTCACTGAAAGAGAATGGTAATTAAGACTTAAGTTTCACACACCGCCCGTGAGTAGCAGGTAGCAGTCTCACACAGCACCCTGGGTGGGGTACAGCTGGCTGAGATGCATATGTGAGTCCCTGGCAGTTCAATTACATAAGTCAAGGATTGCTTGTAATCAATTATTTGAAATAAGAGTGAAAATTACCTTTGATTTCTCCTCTCCTATTTAAATCACTTTCCTCTCCTATTTAATTGCTTTCAGGATACAGTGTGTTTAGATTACTTGCAAAGGTGTTTTACTCTTTGTTTAAAAAGCTACAGAAGTTTTTGGTAAGTTATCAGCAGGCTTGAAAGAGTTGCTTTGGACTAGATTTCTATAACCTACCAAAGAAGGATAAAGAGTGTTTTTTTCTCTTGATTATCTTTTTAAACTTCAAAGTTTTTATGAAGTTTATGCTTAAATAAGATTGAGTATAAAGAAAACTATTTTAAATAAATTGTGTATAGGTTTAGTCTTAAAAAAAAAAACTTTAACCCTTAGTAATTTTCACCCGGTTGGTCAGTTACCCTGTAGCTTTGGTCCTGTGGTTGTGAGCAATCAGGTGAAATTTTTAAATGTGTCTAAAACTCTGCATCAAGCTAGAAATAAAATCAGTCTAACTGATTCTTGAGCATTTTCTGCCTTTCTGGCTGCCTTCTTCTAATTAGAAGGATAAACAAACGAAAGGAAAGGTTTGGGGATTTTAATAGATACACAACCATAAAGAAAAAATGGTACTGTATTTGACCTTCTGACATAAAAGCCAGTTTGACCTGACCCTACAAATGAGTAGCTAGAAGTTTTTTAAAAAGATTACTATATATATTAAACAACAATGCTTCCACTGATTTTTTTCGTTTCTAAGAAAAGGTCAAGTTAATTTTGGTCCCTCCTTTTAAAGGATATGCTAAAATGGGACAAGCATTTTAGATTTTTTATTAAAAAACATTTAAAAGTTATTCATTGGAAAGAAGTGTTTATTTAGTGGAAAATAGAATTTTGAGATTCTTAATTGCCCCCACAATGACAGACAAGTAAGGTATTAATACTTTTTACCCTTACTTTTTCACTTTAATCGAATGTGGGATATTAAGGTACTGTTGTTCCTGTGACCATAAAAGGGTAACATTTTTATTTGCCCAGGGCTGGAGATCAAACCCACGGCCTTGCATGTGCGAGGGAAGCACTTGACTACTGAGGTGCACCCCAGGCCTCAGATGGGACCTTTAAAATGGTTCCACCCTTTTAGAAGTATTAGCAGGCTAGGTTTTCATATCCAAATAAATGTTACCTTTGAAGTGTTTATTTCAGCGGCCCTTAGTTTTTGAAATTTGTTTTAGACTTGCCTTCAGAGCTTGTGAGTTCTCTTTTTGAATGTGAATGTGATATTTAGAAATTACTTAAAAGCCATTTAGAGTTAAGTTTATCTGGTGAGTATAAATGTTTTAATTAAGTTGGTTAAAATAATTTTGGGTCAGAACTAGAGGGTCATGTTACAACACTGAGATGCAATTTTTGGCATATCTTTTAAGATAACCTGAGTAAGTTGCATTTCCAAACAAGTTTTTCTGCAAAATACTTTGAGTAGTAGCGGAGTTATTGAAGTAGTAAGTAGCCTCTAAGATGACTGAAATCATACTCATTTTGACTATTGACATTAGTTTAAGCAACAGAAACCTAATGCTGTAATTATCTAATTTTGTAGTTACCTAATTATATAATTATCCATTTCTAGTACAAATATCTTTACTTTAAATTTACTTTCTATACCTTTATTTTTCAGACTTAATATTTGTGATTTAACCATTGATTTCACTGTAAAATGATGGTGATGATAGCATTTAAAAATGAATTATGTAGGCCAGTGTTTGTTTATGCATGTGGCAAAATTATTTTTCTCTTATCCTAGAAATGGCTTTGTTAGAATTGTAGTCTGCATGTGTCTTAGAGAAACTTGGTTAGACTCTGTATTTGCTTTTTAAAGAGTATCTTGATTTTATTTGTTGATAGGTCTTAAGCATTTTTAAGATTAAACAGATTTGTATGTTTTTTTTTTCCCCCTTTAATTAGGCTCAAGAGGCTTAGAGAATCCTCTGGACCATCAGATTAGCAACGAAAGAGGAGACTCAAGTTATGATAGGTTAACTGATCCTCACAGAGCACCTTCTGACACTGGATCTCTGTCACCTCCATGGGAACAGGACCGTAGGGTGGCGATTCCTCCACCAGGTATGCAAAAGACAGTGGTGTTTATATTTGCAAGGCCGCGACTCTGTGGGACATTGAAATAGAAGAGGATTCTGTGTAGTCTCTTTTTTTATCTTTTTTTTATTTTTTTTAATTTTTTTTTTGGTTTTTCTCCGGTACCGGGAACCGAACTCATGACCTTGCGCTTGCCAGGCAGGCGCTTTGCCGCTGAGCTAAATCCCCATCCCCAGTCTCTTTTTTTTAAAAAAAAAATTATTTTTCATCCAGGTTCCTCCCCTCCGCTGCCTCTCTGTGTGTCTAGGTTCTTTAAGTCAGGGTATTGCTATGTAATTCAGGTAGTCCTTGAACACACTATGTAGCCCAGGCTGACCTTGAACTCACTATCTTTCTGTCTCAGATCCCTGAGTGCTGGGATTATAGGCATGTGCCACTATGCCCAGCTTCTATGTGTTCTCTCTCTCTCTCTTTTTTTTTTTTTTTTCCTTTTTGAGGCAGGGTTTCACTATGCAGTTCAGGCTGGCCTAGAACTTACTTTGTAGCCCATGCTGGCCTGGAACTCACAGCAGTTCTCCTGCCTCAGCCTTCTGAGTGCTGGGATTACAGCTGTCCACCACACCTGGCTATGCCTTTTCTTAAGAAAAATCATAATACATTTTAGAAAACAATAGTAAACTTTTAAACAGAATAGTAGGAGATAATGGTTCACATAACAGAAAGCTGTTTAGCCCTCCAAGTGGAAGTCAGTATTGTTTTTGTTGCTTATAAAAATAATACATATTTATTTTAGCAAATCTGAATGATGCAGAGGTATATAATTAATAAGCGAAAAATTTCTCTAATTATCACAGCATGGCCTCAGAATTTAGTTATATATAGTTTACTTATATATGCGTATGTATGTATATATATTCATACAAACGCGTGCACATCTACATCCATTCATCCGTAAACATAGGTATTTAAATTCTTTTTTTACTTCTGTGCAATTACATCATTCACTCTCTTTTTGTCTTTAGTCAGAACCATGTGCATAATATGAAAAAAACACACAAGCAGACATAAATGTACGTGTAGACGATTAGTTCTGTAGCTTGAATATGGTGGCTTCATAAATCTACAAGTGATAACCTGGCATAGAGCTATCACATGTATTGAACTGTGATCAGTTTCCTCTTGGTTATATTATATTGTAGTTATGAAACATTATAATGTATGAGTGGAAACAGGGTAAAGGGTATGCAGGACCTCTCTGTATTGGTTTTGTAGTTTCCTGTGAATCTTTTGAAAATTAAAAACCAAAACCTTACTGGATATAATACACATGTGAGAAAGCACAAGTATTCTTAAGCATATAACTTGATGATTTTTTTTCAGTTTGAACAGCTGTATAATTATTTCTCAGATCAACTTTTTTTTTCTTAGAAATTTTATTTACAATATTTTACTATTCATATATCACCTAGTAATCAATTAAAATTTTAGCAAAAATATATCTGGAGATAACAGGTCCATTATAAAGTTGATATAAATAAAAAAGTGCACCAAAAATTTACCGGTGTGACTTGGTTCAGTGCTTCTATAAGAAACACATGAAGATATTTTCATATTTAGAATTATAATATTACAGGTTAAAGAGACTTGGTGAGAAAGTAGGTAAGAAACACATGAAGATATTTTCATATTTAGAATTATAATATTACAGGTTAAAGAGACTTGGTGAGAAAGTAGGTTAACTTACTATACACTTTCTTTGCTAGGGCAAACTTTCTGAGAGTGATATGTGCGGGCTGATTGTCTTTGCTTTGTAAAATAAAATTGAAGAGCTGTCTTTTATTCAGGAGGTAACTCACCAGTGAGAAATGTAGATGACTGCATTTAACTACAGCTCAGGGTAGGATACATACTTTGAAAATTGTCATAAATTTAAATCAAAAGATAGTGGTTTAGTAGCTTTCCCAGGTGGAAAGATTTAAAACTCAGTATTTTTAGATCTAAATACACTTTAGAGGTCTATGCTGTAGTGCTATAGTTTGTCTCATTTTCGTAAGAATTTTCGCTGAAACATTTTATGTCAATATACTGGTTCTCAAAAATAAGTTTAATGGAATGATATGATAATACAGTGGAGTGAGTATGATACTGAACTAGGTCTTTTTGTACAACACCTCTGTGCAGTAAACTTTCTGCAGTGACGGAAAGTTCTGTATCTGCACTGTCCAGTACAGTGCCTCTAGGCATTTGTTGCTAGTCAGCACTTAAATAGTGCTTAGTGCAACTTCAGAAATAGAATTATTAATTAATTAATATAAGTTAAGATTTAAAGCTGCATGTTACAAGTGGCTACTGTACTGCTAGTGTAGCTCCATAATGAACACTTGTGCTGTGTATGAGAATGAAACCTTTTTAAGGGACTTAGAGATTCATTGTTGTGTATTATTTTCTGCTATAAGAGAGGACTCAGACACTGTTTCAGTCTTGTTGTTAATATGGTATGCTAATACTGTTTTAAAGACAACTTTATTGAAGATCTTAACATACATACAGAAAGGTATACAAATAAAGTGAGCTTAATGAATTATCACAAGATAAACATAACCTTTACAACCACTCCCTAGGTTGAGCAATTCCTAGTCCTGCAGAAATCATCCCTTGTCAATTAAGTACTGCTTCCAAACATAATGTTGTCCAAAGGTGACAACCATTCTTTACTCTTCTAACACTTTAAGTTGCTTTGGTCTGTTTTTGAACATATCAATGGGATTGTATGTATTTCTTTTGTTTGGCTTGTTTGATTTGAAATTATAATTTGGAGATTCTCCACATTCTTTCATGTATGTATAATTTGTTTTTCTTGGTGTATATTTTTTGAGTGCATATGCACCAATTACAAATTTGGACATATATTTATATTCCAGTTTAGGATTATTATAAATACAGTATTCTTGTTTTTTGTTGGATGAATGTATATTTAGGATAGAAATTGTTAAGTTGCAGGATATGCATATTGGTTAAATTTTAGCACATCATACTGAACAATATTCGAAAGAGTTGGTATCAGCTAATACTCTTACCAATAGTGGCTTTTTAATTTTAGTCACTCTGGTCAGTGTGTGGTAACAGTATTATGATTAAAATTTGTATTTCCCTGATTATTATAAGGTTGCATTCCTTTTTCATAAGTGTATTTGCCATCTATATAGTCTCTTATGTTCCTTTAACTTTTTTTTTTTTTCCTTTGGCTGGGTATCAAACCCAGAGGCTTGCATATGCTAGGCAAGTGCTCTTCTGCTGAGCTGTACCCGCTAGTACTGTCATGTACCTTTTGAGTTTCATGTCTGTTTTTGAATTTGCACATTTGACTTTTCTGTTTTATATTTCCTATAAATGAGCTCTTTTATTCACAGTTTATGACAAATTTGTTGGACAACTCTAGTTGCCCTTTTATATTCTTAATGGTCTTTTAATGGAATAGATTTTTGTTTTTTTTGTTTTTTTTTCCGGTACCAGGAATCAAACTCACGACCTTGCACTTGCCAGGCAGGCGCTGTGCCGCTGAGCTAAATCTCCAGCCCTGGAATAGATTGTTAGTATTAACATAGTTCAGTTTACCAATCATTTCTATGATGGGTATTTTCTTGTTCAAGAAATTGTTCCTTACCTTTAGGGTGTAAAGATAATATCCTATGTGTTATATTAAATAGTTATACTTTTCATGTTACATCTATAATCTACCTGGAATAAATTTTGTGTATATGGTATCTGTTAGGAATTACACATCATGGGGGCATAGCTCAGCAACACAAGCACCTGCCTGGCAAGTGCAAGGTCCTGAGTTTGATTCCCCGTACCAAAAAAAAAAAAAAAGGAATTACACTTCATTTTGTTCCATATGAAAGAGCTTTGTTTTCTTCTTTTTTTTTTTTTTTTTTTTTGCTTTTTGAGACAGAGTCTTGCTGTGTAGCCCAGGCTGGCCTTGAACTTAGTGTGATCCTCCTGCCTTAGCCTCCCGAGTGTTGGTATTACAGGCGTGTCCTACCATGTCCAGTTTCTATTTTTTCCTTCTATTCTTTTTTTCTCTCATCCCTTCTTTCCTTTTTCCCCTCTCCTCCCTTGTTCCCCTTTTCATTTGAACATTTTCTTCCAATTTCCCAATATCTGTTACATATTTTGGTCCTTATTCATGGTTTCAGTGTCTTGGATCAGTGAAAAAAGCAGTATTTAAATGTGTGTCCAATTCATTTCACTTAAGAGTATGGTCTTAAGCTGCATCTGTTTAACTAGAAATGTCTCAAATATATCTTTCTTTATGTAGAGTAGCACTCCATTGTATAAAAGAAAAACCCACACCCTTTTTACATTCATCCGTTGATGGGCATTTGGGCCATTTCTAAGATTTAGCTATTATCAACTATGCCAGTGTAAACATGGGTGTGCATATGTTACTCTGGTATGATGCTTTAAATTCTTTTGGGAAGATACCAAGAAGGGGAATAGCTGGGTTGAATGGAGCCTCTGATTTTAGATTTTTGAGGAATCTCCATAGTGGTTGCACCAGTCTATCAAAGGTGGAGAAGTGTTTCTTTTTGCCCACAGCCCTGTCAGCATTTGTTATTGGTTGATTTCTTGGTGATAGCCATTCTTTCTGGAGTGAGATGAAATCTGAACATTGTTTTAATTTGCATCTCTCAAATGAGCAGTGATGTTGAACATTTTTTCATGTATGTATTTGCCTTTTGTATCTCTTCATCTTTGAAGTGTGTATTCATCTTAGATGTCCATTTTTGGATTGGTTCTTTAAATTTGGGGGGTCTGATTTCTTCTTGAGTTCTTTATATATTCTGGGCATTAGTCCTTTGTCTAAGGAACAGCTGGTGAAATTTTTTTTCCACACTGTGAGTTATTGCTTCCCTTTGTTGATGATTTATGTTTCTGTGCAAGAGCTTTTAATAAGATGAGATTCCCAGCCGTTGTTTTTTATGATAGTTTTTTTGCAATCGAGGTTTTGTTCATAAAGTCTTTGCCTACACCAGTGTCTTCAAGAGTTCTACCTATTCTGTTTTCCAGCATATTTAGTGTTTCTGTTTTAATATTTAAATCTTCGATCCATTTCAACTTTAGTTTTAATCTTTAGCATGTGGAAAGCCAATTTTTCCAGCACCATTTTTTTTTTGTTGTTGTTTTTGGTCTTTCTGAGACAAGCTTTCACTATGCAGTTCAGGATGGTCTTGAACTCACTTTGTAGCCTCGGCTGGCCTCAGACTCACAATGATCCTCCTGCCTCAGTCTCCCAAGTGCTGGGATTACAGGCATGTGCCACCATGCCCAGTCTAGCACCATTTTATAAAGAGGCTATCCTTCTTCCAACAAGGAAGTGTTTATGTGTCTGTGTTTGACAAAGGGTGGCTGAGTGTGTTTGGAGTTGTATCTGTATTTTCTAGTCTCATCCACTTAAGAGATTTATTTATTTAGATACCAGAAATCAAACTCAGGACCCTGTGCTTGCCAGGCAGGTACATCCCTGGTCTTGCCATGCAGTTTTTATTGCAATAACTCTGTAGTATACTTTCATGTCAGGGATTGTGATGCCCCCTGCCTTGCCTTTGTTACCTAAAATTGCTTTTGCTATTCTAGTTCTCCTCTGGTTTCAAATGAATTTTAGGATTGTTTTTCCTAATTCTGTGAGATATGTTATTGGCATTGGCCAGCTTGTCATGCTGGCTTTCTTGATGAACCAATCAAAAGGTCTTACTGTGCAGTTCAGGCTTGGCCTTGAATTCACTTTGTAGCCCAGGCTGGCCTTGAACTTGTTATATAACCACAAATATACTTCATATGGTTAAAGATGGCAAATTAGCTGGTGATCCTCCAGCTTCAGCCTCCAAAGTGCTGGGTTTACAGGTGTGCGCCACCATGCCTGGCTTCTGG